TAAGGTGGTTCTATGTGACTGAAGTCTGATCTCTCTCCGGGGACCAGGCATTGCTTGGTCGTCCAAGTGAAAGGCTGGACGTGTTTTATTTAGACGATGTTAATGTTCCCCACAGCCTCCAGTTAGGCAGAATGATAACCTAGTGTAGTAGCAGGAGAGTCTGGTGTGAAGCACTGACGTGACCTCTGGAGAGACTGAGTCTGACACCCTTGCCTTAGTGGATCCGGGCACTTTTCTAAATGAAGAGCTAGCTTATTTTGTACGATTGTTAAAGAGCAGTATAGAGATTTTATGGTAAAGATGGAAAAAGAGTATTTCAGATGTACACCAGTTAATTTTTTATGTATATTACCAGTTTTATTGTACAATGGTATTGTACAAAAACATGCAGCTTCATTTTAAAAAAAATCCTTAAAGTAAGGAAGAACTTTTTAAGAAAAACATTTAATTTTTGTATTTTTGATTTCAGGAGGCATGTTATGTCTACTTTTTCAGTGTATTAATGAAGATTTTAACTTTACATCAGGTTGAGTGTTTTCTTACTATATTATCTGTGTATGTAGTTAGCACATTGTGTCACTGAACTGTTTAAAAATTCTAGCATGTAGAAAATGAGCCTGTTTTGTGGGAAAAATCCTTCATTAAATTTTAATCATGGCAGGTTTTTCTGCAGAAAAGAAAGCAACTGCGTTTCAGAATTCTGATTTTTGTATTTTCAGAAAGGTATTTTGCTTGCAGGAATTACTAAAAAATGAAACTTTTTTAGATGTATTTAAATACATTTTAGGGCATCTTTATGATGTTGGTATTCTGTCTATTGTAAAATGTACATAACATTACCTTGAAAAAAATAAGTATTCAACAAAGTTTTGAAACTTTGCAAACCACCTGGCTTTCTTATTGTTTTTATTTTCCTTACACTACACAAGACTGAATGTGAGAATCGCTTGTGGACGTGTTGGCGGGGCTGGAGGGAGGGACCGAGGAATCTCTTGAGAACGTTGTATTGTGAGTGAGGTTTACAGTGCACGGTGTCGAGAGAATTCTCCTGGTCAAGCTTTTGCTCATTCTGTCATCTCTAATTCCGGACCGTCTTCCACATCAATTGCATGCCACTTGCCTGCTGGTACGCGCCATGTCATCTTTTGTTACGTTTCTATTTACCCTGTGCAGTTTGTGCTTCCTCCGGCCTGCGAACAGGAGAGGCTTCTTTACACAAGGGACGTGCGAGCGTAGGACAAGCTGTTCAGCCGTGTTGTTCAAGAACATCACCTGGCTTCTCAAGAAACAGCTGGTTGAGAGCCTTCAGTTAATTACCTACGATCTGCTAAACTTGTTCGATGGGCCGAATTTTCGCCTCTTGTGCGTAACCTTGGTTCTTCATAGTGTTTCACAAGTGGCAGTGGCTTCAACAGCTAGGTAGATCGAGGCAATAGCAATTTAAAAGATCTTCGCTAATGAGACCACAAAACTACGGAAGCTTATTAGCACTTCTGAGGAAAAATTTCTGCGTTTATACGAGACCGTAATTGTGTTTGTACAAGATAGTATTGCGTTTAAACGCAATGGTTAATTTGTGAACAATATTGCCTCCTATAATATTACATCTTGCGTTACATATGCAATAAAAGCGTCCCATGCAACGTACTGTAGCACTTACTTAAACCACATAAGAGCATCGTCACACGCCTCTCGTGTGGGGCGGAATTGTAAAGAGGCACGTGTACTGTCTTAGGTGTACATGAAGTGCAACACCCTGTCAGCGAGCATTCCCGGCTTAACCGTGTGTTGTTTTCGCCGTTCCTATTACAAGTAGAAATGATAGGGCGATATGAACCTGTACTGTACATAGGTTTTTGCCTAATCTTAAAATATTGACCGGAATGCACCTGCAATGACTTGACAGTAATCAAAAGTAATTCCGTAATCAAAAGACCTGTCTCAAATGAACTATGTACAGTATCTGTTATCTTGCTCCCGGGAAATTTCGGACGGCACTTTTACGTGTACGCTCTTCAGGTTTCAGTAGGTAGGCTGTCAAGGAACAAGTAAAGGTTTGTTACGTGCTGAAAGGAAAAGAGCCACAACGACTCTGCTGTGGACCCTTCTTCAGGTGTGAAGAGGGCTGAAGAAGGCTCCACATCTGAAGCGCTGTGGCTCTTTTCAGCATGGCCTAAACATTTAACTCGTTCCTTACTTGCAAATTGGCGGCTTTTCCTGTGAGGGGCTCTCTGAATGCCCGCTCGTTCTCTGCTCTCCACCACCTGACACCTTGGCGCTCGCCGGTTGCGTGTTGGTCCCCGGTCACGTTAAATTTTTACCACCGTCGGTCACGCTGTGCCACTCGACACCGTGGACACTGATGGAAATGTGTTCAGCGCCACCAGAATTGTGTTAACCGACACCCAGGGGGCTGTTTTTGTTTCTTAGTGTTAAGCAAATAATATGGTGCTCCAGGAAGCGATACAAGAGCATCGATAGACCGTAAGGGCTCCCTGTCGTTGTCATTCGCGGTGCGAGTTGAGCATTAATCACCTTTAACGTCTCATTGGTGTAAATAGGTAGCAGCCATAACGCGGAAAAGTACCGTTTTGTTTCCCTGCGCTTTGTGTGAGTTTGCGGTTCTAGAAAACGCAGTGAGCGTTCGCGTTTACGATTTTAACGCAAAACCGACTACGTGAATACGTGAATGCCATGTTCTGGCTGCGTTCTCTTTAATAAGATATGGCCATTAGTAGCCATTAACAATGTCTTGCATTAGGAATTGGTCTTTTCGCATTGCAGGCTATATATTATTAGTGGTAGCTGGATCTACAGTATGGTTATATAAATTCCTAAACATTATGCTTGATAGTACGACCCAGCAGGAGCCCCTTTAAACATTTACCTGTATTCATTGCTCAAAGCGATGAGTTGGAGCGCCTCTGTGTACTCGGCTACAGTAGGAATGTATAAGCCAGAACATGGGGCGGAAGGATCTCTCCGTTTTTCCACTTGTGGTGCATTTCGGGGCCATCAGTTGTCAGCGAGCGAGGGTTTCGCGAGAAATGGAGCGAAACGGCGTGCTGGGAGAGAATCGATAGCCCCTTTGGGTGGCGCTGCGAGGTTAATTCATTTTGGCTCGAAGCGGCATTTCGGCACCGTTCTCTGTCCGGCAGGTATACTTTTCCCGTTATCTGTTACAAACACGACGGGTGTCGGTTACAGAAGCCGTAATGAGACGGGGTATCAACAAGACGTATTAATTTTTCAAAGCCCTCTGCGTTTTATTGGCGAACTTACGTGTATTTCACAGCTCTTAGCCGCACCTATTTTCTGCGCTCTTTTAATTACCCGAGGATAAAGTTGCAGGAGAGGGGACAAGGATAGCCAATTCCTCAGCCATTGTGGCGTGTAAATGAAATTGCCCCGGGTGAGCAGGCGCAGGCGGCAGTCCGTCAGGGTCGTCGTGGAGAGAACTGGAAGATGCTGGAAGAGTCCCTTTTTTTCCCCTAACACCCTGTAGCAATCAAATCTTTTAAAAAGGGATAACACAGAGACCGCGCGTTTATTAACCGCTTCTTGGAGTTTCGATGTCGTTTTAAATCAAAAAGGAAAAATGACCAGAATAACGGTGCTAACATTTTGACAGGAAATAATTTTCTTATCTGAATATTAGTCTCGCATTGATATTTTTTTTTTTAATTCAGCAGCTAAAATGCACCCTACACCACCCTTTGCTACTGGAACGATGCGCACCGACTTCGGGCTGTTTCTGAGTCTACTGGGCTTTTACGTAGCTGGACTTCCGCTAAACTCTCCACAAATGCCGAGGAGAATGGTATTTATCCTCTTAGTCCTGGGTGTCTTTCAAGGTAGGTTCCTGGGGAGATGGAATGGGCTTTTTCCCCCCCACAATATCTGCTAAAAGATGTTACTCTCGCATGATACTAAATGTAACAACATCTACTAAATGTTAGTCTGATGTAGCTGAATGTGGTAGTAGTGAATTATTAATGCTTATTAACTTTCCGTAGCCTGCAAGTTGCTATCCCTAGCCATTTTCTTGTTTCCCCTTTAGAATTTGAGCCACTGTTACAAATCCAAGTAACTGAAAGTGCGGAAAGTGTTTAAGCATTAAATGTTTCCTTTTGTAACAGATTTGCTGTACAACTAAGATCATGCAGTAAACTGGCTATTTTTGCGCACGCGTATTATTCATTTATCGCCAGAAAACCAGCCACTCAATGCTGTTTTTGTAGATGACGGATTCAATTACCCGAGATAGCTGGTTTCGTGTTAGCACCTTGGACGTGTGTTTTTTCTTTAAATTAATTCTTACAGGAGGTGTTTGGGGCCAGTCGGAAGATCTGCTTACAAAGCGGGGACACGCCGGACTGGCGAACCACAGCACTGTGACCAGAAAGGGCGGAGGGGACGCGGGCGGTGGGAGTCCGCTGGAGCGGAGTCTGCGGAGGCTGATGGAGAGGATGGATTCTCCCGACGCGCGAGCCAGCGGAGGACAAGAGCTGAACGGAGACAAGGGCAGAGTGATCCCGGTCACGGGTAATCCCTCTTTGGAAGCAACCAAGGAGGGCTTGCAAGCCATCCTGACGACTGTGTTTGAGGACACCGACATGGAGATCTACCTCAACGCCCTGAAACTCCTGTATACGATTTACCAGCCGCTGTTTGCCGAGCAGGCTCTGGAGGAGCTGCCCGGTGCGCTCGTTTGCGCTCTGCTAGACAGGGAGGACTGCGGCGGCGAAGCCAGTGGTCTAGCCGCCCAGGCATTCAGGTATCTGCAGTCGCTCCTCGACTCCATGCAGAGACAGAGCTGCCGCTCCACGCAAGCCAGCAACCTCGGCCGCTCGCTGGTGACGAGTTTCCAGAGCCTCTTTCCTTCGCCCACGCCGGAGTCGCCAGTGCTAGACCGCCTAGCCGATTTCCAGGACCGCCTGCTCACCTGGGCTGGTCTCCTGCCCCGGTTTTTCTCCGCGCGGCTGAGCGACGCTTGGCACGTGTTCATTAAAGTGATCTTTCCAACTTTTGCTAATTACGTCGCCGACGTGCTGTCGTATTTAATCTTGACCCCAACTGGTTATTTGCAAACTGGGTTGGAGATCCTGGTCGATGTCCCTGTTATGGACCAAAATGAGCAGTGCCAGCAAGGTTCGTGAAATCTTAACTTGTTCTGCTGTGCCCAGTTGTGTGAATGCAGACTAGTACCGTGTTTTAGAACTCGGATCACCTGGTGTTTCATATAGTTATTATAGATTTCTATACGATATTAAAGTTCTCTAGAGAGAGATTTCCCAATAATCTAATAACGTAAAATAGCTTTAAAACCCAAGAAGTACAGCCTAATGCAATTTTGTATAGATCTTTTCATTTTAAGTTAAAATTCTAACATGTTATTGAAAGCAGCACAGCACAGAAATAGTGTAATGACACACACTGCATTGAAAGACCTACATATTTTTAAAAATCCATGCTGAATTTTAAAGTGCATGTACAGGATTGATGTCACTCACAGTGCAGTTATATCATTGCCCTTCCTGCTTGTTCTTTTCTGTCTAGGGGATTTGAAACAGCTGCTCATGTGGTAAGTTTCCCATATCATGTTTCTGAATTGACGGTTCCGGTTGAAGCATGCCAGTACCTCGCAGCTGTAAACAATATTGACCGGATCCTAAAGCAAACCTTTACTTCATAAGCACTAGGACAGTGAAACACTGGATAATCGTTTTCAACTTTTCCAGAACAGAACACTACCCTCCTGCCCACCACCACTGTGCTCTATGGGTACAGTTTGGGTAGATATGGTTGATTAGAAATGGGATTTTGGCATGAAATTTACAACAGGCCGAGCTTGGATTGCAGGGATTTTAATTTAGTATGGTCTTCAGGCAAAATATATTAAATATAAAATCTGAATTGTGTGTGTATTGTATATACTTTTGGGTTTGCTTATTATTACTAATATTTCTAATAATAATCTTAGTAGTATTGAGCAATCATAATACATAGTGTTGTAAATTAATAGATCCACACTTTGCTTTCCACAATTATATCTTACTTGAAACAGTTCTGCAGCGCTGAATGACCTAGTAGCTCATTTTAGACTCCCCTGCAGTGTTTGATTGATTTCACGCATGCATTTGTGCCATTGCCTGGGCCAGTTCATGGGACCGTGTGCTGTTTTGCCTAGGGGAATGAGCCACAATGTCAGCTGGAATTTCGGCGATCTGATTCTGGACATTTTCCTGCCATCGGAGCCTCCACTGTGCAGCTACCCAGCCCCCGAGTGTCAGGCGGTTCAGTTCACACGGTCGCTGCTGCCCAGTTCCCCTCCGGAGGCCTGGAGCTGTGACCCATATAACTTCACTCAGGTCCAGGGAGCCATCTGCTCCAGGCTGCGCCTGACCGGGCAGCCCTCCGCTGCAGTCTCTTCTTTGTGCAAGGCTCTGAGCAACCTGTCTGCCCCCGAGGCCGCGCAGGTGTGGAACAGCGGGTGCAGGAGCGTTCACACCATCTCCTCGCTCTTGTATGGTGGGATGGACTGCCAGTCTTCATCTCAGCGGGCCAGATCCACCCTGAGCCTCAGGGAGCTGGTCTGCCTGTACGCCAACTGGACCCAGTCCGGCCGCGTTGATCCGGCCTCCGTGTCCTTCTGCAGTGAGAACGACAAGGAGAATTTCTTCCAGGGCGTCTGCTATAATGGGAGGCTTTTGCCCCTGCTGATGCAGGATGCAAACAATGCATGGCTGTCGGCCTATTGCACAAACTTCTCTGACGCAGATGCGAAAAGGTACTACTGCAAGTACTCCACCTGGGTTCCCGAAACAGTGGACCCTTCGGTGCTGAGTTTCTGCTGGACCGTGGATCAGGCTGGTCTGGAGAAGGCGCTCTGCAATGATCTGGAGCTGTTCCTCAGAATATTTGCCAATCCTGGTAACGCGTGGCTGTCAATCAACTGCTCTCTTGCAGAGCCGCCCACTGAGGTTCCTGCTTCGGAAAACATCGCTGACCTGTGCCGCTACAGTGAGTGGAAGGAGTCTGCCTCGGTAGACATGGTCACAGTGTCCATCTGCGCGCAGCATGACGGCGAGAATTTTAATCGCATAGTTTGCACAGATGCGAAGATACTTGAGGTTCTGATGAGCGACAAAGAAAACGTCTGGGTTAAAGATTACTGTGCCAGCTACTCAAGTGTGTTTAATAACAGCCATCTCAGCACTGCTGCCTGGTGTACGTATGATCAGTGGATGGAGGGGTTTGTGGATCCTTCTGTTGTAGCCCTGTGTTGGCAGAATGACCAGCTGACCTTCAGTAAGAATGTGTGCTGCAACATGGCCTTGTTCGAGAAGCTCAGTTTGGAGCTGCAGAATGAGTGGCTGCTCTCCGCCTGCGGGGAGAACGAGACCGTTGAGGCTGTGGGGCAGGCGTGCCGATACAGCGAGTGGAGCCTCCCGGCTGTGATCGACATGACCGACGTGGCCGTGTGCGCCGACTACGACAAGGCGAACTTCACGCAGTGGGTCTGTGCCAATGAAACGCTCCTCCAGAACCTCCTGGCCAACCTCGACAACACCTGGCTCGTGGAGTTCTGCGCCAACCTCTCCGGTTCGGGGAGTGTCTCTAAGCTTAAACCGGCAGAGCGGTGCCTCTACGAGTCCTGGGCGGTTGAACTTCCAGACTCGTCCTTGCTGGCTTTGTGCTGGGACTTGGATCACGCAAAATTTGTGTCCCTGGTTTGCAAAAATTCTTTCCTGCTTTCCTTACTGACACGGGAACCTTCCAGCTTTTGGGTTGGTACCCTCTGTGCTACATACAACATCTATAGCAACCAGAGTAGCGGCAACAATACAGAGCCCAAACCATGCTTTGTGAGAGACCTGGTGAGACAGCTGAACTGGTCCTGCAGTTTAGACTTCACTGCTGTCTGCCAGCAGAGCTCCAGCCAGTTGCGGGGCCTCCAGCACTTTCTTCAGTGTGGGATAGAGGCAATCGGTCTGAAGACAAACAGCCTCATTACCGAGCAGGTGTCCACAGTATTCGCACAGGCAGCCAATCAGGTTGTGATCCTCCTGGTGGTCCTGGAAGATAATCGTCTGATCTCATTCCACGCGTCGGCGAACATTCACCTCAGCGTGCTGGAGTCTGTCAGGGCTTACCTGGAGTATGAGAAGAACTTCGAGAACAAGAGAGTTCTTCTGCAGTGCTTTGGGGTAAGCAGAGCCCAGACACAACACTCTGTATTTGGGCTACCTTATAATAGCCTGTACAGGTGGTTCTTATTTAGCAAAAATACATGGTAAATGTGTCAGGTGACATACTGGCAAAATAGTTCAGGTGGGTAGCTGCATCAGCATGTGTAGGCCTACACCTGAAGAAGGCTCCACGGCCGAAATGTTGTGTTCTCTTTCTTCTTTTTTTTAGCATGGAATAAACCTATTACTTGTTCCCATACTGGCAAAATGGTTAGCACTTTTGCCTCATAGTGCTGAAGCCCAGGGTTCAATTCCTGGGGTACTCTCTGCATGTAGTTTGAATGTTTTTGTCTGCGTGGGATTCCTCCCTAAAGTCTGAAGACGTGCTGCTAGGTTCATTGGCTTTTGGGAAAACTGAACCTGGGGTGAGTGTGTCTGTGTGTGTCCAGTGAAAGAATGGTGTCCTGTCCAGGGTGTATCCTGCCTTGAGCTCATTCCTTGCTGGGATAGGCTCCAGCATCCCTGCGACCTTGACCCTCAGTTGGATGAAGAGCATAGGAAATGGATGGACATGTAAACAGTTGAATTGACCTACATTTTTTCCCTGCAATTGCATGTATATGTAAATCTATCTGTACATAAAGCATCCAAATTCATAAGTAACAGTCATAATTTAGATATGCAAGGGAACGAGTCAAAGGTTTATTCCATGCTGAAAAGAGAAGAAAGGAAACACAATAGCTGTAGAACCTTTTTCAGGTATGGAGCCTACTTCTTCACACCCGAAGAAGGCTCTGCAGCCAAAATGTTGTTTCCTTTCTTCTCGTTTCGGCATGGGATAAACCCTTTACTTGTTCCCTTGCAGCCTACGCACGCTGACGCCTCTACCTACTTGAATAAGTTGGATATATTCATATTATCCATTTCAAATCGGTTTCCTGCATGACTGTCGGTTTGTGTTCTTCTGCAAACAGAACGTCCTGACGAGCATGATGCAGACGGCGCGCGAGGTCTCACACGACGGCTTCTTTCTCATCAAGGTGAGAGCGCAGGGATTCAAAACATCCTGGCATCGCCACAGACAAGCGACTCCCTCGGTGTTGTAACGAACAGTTCTTTCCGGACCCTATGCGGACGACACAGTCCGACGGAGTGGGGAAACACT